ATATATATATTAATATTATAATAAGTAGAAATATGGTAATGCTTGGTACAAGCACAAAAAGTTGTGCTTGTTAGTAGGTGTCACATCTCCCTCCACTCATTAAATGTAGGCGACCCATTCACATCGGGTAATGAGTGGATAGGGATGTGATACATCACTACCAAGCACAAAATTAGCTTGGTACCAAGCAGATCACCCATATTTCTCATAATATATATATTATAATATATATATAGTATATATATATATAATAAAGTTTTTTGATATGCATCTCTCAAGGTTTAACATGTTGTTCGGAAAAATGTTTCGCGTTCACTTAATACTTTTTTTACTATGCCTAAAATTATAGCATAACTGGTGAAGGACCTTTCAAAATTGCTTTGATTTGTTCCTATAATTTTATGCTGACACCTGAAAATATAATATGGGCATGAATTTTCTATCATACCAAAGCACTTTCCAAAATTTTAATATCAGCTGTACGATCCATATTCTTTTATTTTCTTTATAATTCAGTTTCATATGATCCCTCTTTGTTTTACTTTTTTTTTAAGCCCAAACTATGGCGGACAATAAAAAGTAAAGCATTAAAACAACTTTAAGTTAAGAGCTTTGCTATAGGGACCTAAAATATGGGACCAATAGGACCCCTATTGATCACATATTTTGGGTCCTTGAAGAATTTTTCTTAAGTTAAATATCTGATATCCATATTATATGAAAGTTAATGCTAATAAATAAAAGCAAGGGTTACCAGCATAAATAAATAATATATTAAAAACTATAAATAAATAAAAAACAATAAATGAACAAGGACAAAGAGGATATTTTGAGCTAGTAAAAAGGAGGTAATCCTTTTTAACGGACTTCTGACCACACTTGGAACAACGAGACAGAATCGCAGACCATCAATGTCTTCCCAATTTGCCCCTACCCTACAGCATAGAAAAATAGCCGCGTAATAGCCCTCATCCTCTTCCCAAAATGCCCCTCCTTCGCTTCTTCTCTACTCTTTCCTCTTCTCCGAACTTCCCGTAGCCTGGCCACGACAGGGAGGATGCCTAAAATAAAAGCACAAATAGCGTCATGATTCCCCAAAATCCTGGCTTCAATCCAACTCAAGCTCCATAATTTCTCCCGTTCTTCCCATAATGCCCCCGTGCATGCTACCCACCGCTTTCCTTGAATCCAACTCAATCCCTGAATCATTCGGATACCCAATCCAGAGTTCACCACTGAGAAAAGAACCCATATAACAAAATCCGACCTTTTTGTCATCTAGCTCCACTTTTCCCGTTGTGTTCCCATAATACCCCTATCAATGGCAGCTGTGCTCCAATCTCAGCGGACCCTTTTAAGCCCAGTGGATGAGGGGAGCAAAGGGGGGAGGGAAGAGGAGGAGCTTTCGCTCATAGCTTTGTTGATTACTTTGCTGAGGAAATCTTTGGTTGGGTGTAGATTGGGAGGAGAAGAGATCAGCCGTTCGATGGAGATCGGGTGGCCGACGGATGTGCGACACGTGGCGCATGTCACCTTTGATAGGTTCCATGGGTTCCTTGGATTGCCGGTTGAGTTCGAGCCTGAGGTCCCAAGGAGAGCTCCCAGTGCAAGGTCTATATATAAATATTTAAAAATTTTCAATTTGATGTGAATTTTCAAGAAATTTGATGCTGGTTACTAGAAATTTGTTTCTGAACTCTGCTTACTACATTGATGTTTTGTGTGCAATTGAAAGGTCGAATATGTGGGCTTCTTCTTTTTAAGGAAAATTTGGTGTTAGTAATGCTGAAATTTGCACAGAGTTCATGAGTCACAGTGGGAATTAGAGAATTGCATGGCCTTGTTATAATGAAATTCATGTCAATTATTATAATTTGCTTCAAGCTCTTCAGACTCTTTTGAGTTGTTTTATTTTGTAAATGTGTTTGGAGTAAATGAAAATATTGAACAAAGGAGCTTCAAGTTTTCCTGAATTACATTTTGAGCTGAAGTTGTGACTGCATTCGAATAGATCTTATAGTTCTAAGGATGGATGACCAATTTCATAACATTTATCTTTTCGGTATTTGATTTGGGTACATTTGAGATTTTGAACCTTGGGTTTCTTATGCGAGGGAGTTAGAGATTGTATGCTAACAAATATATGAGTTATAACGGGTGCATTAGTGTTTATGAATTCTGAAATCTATTGTCTAGAATTTTGCAATTGAATTAGGGTTTTGTCTTGAAAGAAAAAAGATTGTTTTACCAGGTGAGGTAAAAAAAAAAGAGATATAGCTTTAATTAACACGATTCATATAAAATTTGAGATGCTGAGGGCCTTGTGGCTTTTGTAGAGGATAGTTTTATTGCTTATGGTTTTTTTTTTCAAACTCAAACTAAAAGCTCTATAATTCTTTCTTACCTTGATCCTCTTGTAGAAGTTAGTGTCTTGCATTCATTTTGAGAACATTAATTTGGTGCCACTGGAATCTGAAAGTATATCAGTGCATTTTAAGTCTTTCAAATCTTCATTTGGAATTAGCGATTTGCATTTTTTCCATCCAATTTAGCCGTCAATTTATAGACCTTGATCATACTTGATGGTTCTGCACCATAAATTTTCTTAAAAATCTCAATCTTTCTGTTTCCCGTTCATTCTTTAGAATTGTAACTATGTAACACTTTTTTTTAACTAACTGCATGTAGTGCGACTGTCTTTAAATATTGTATACAATAAAACAACTGAACAAGTATTGTAACTTTCTTGTTTTTCTTTTTCTTTCTAGACTATAGATAACATAAAAAAGGCTTAGCCCCTAACTCCAAAGAATCATGCTATCATTTACAGGTAATATATACCATAAGGATTCATTTGCATATTGACAATTTCACCTATGAATTTAAGGCATATATATCTATGGCCAGTCTTCGTTTATTTATCTGAGCGATAATGAGGGTGTGATACCCTATTTATAGACATCAGTTGGTTACGCATGATAAATACAATAACACAATATTTCTTTGTTACTTATTTGTCTTGTTCCAATTTTGTTACCATCTATTGTCATACACACTTCGGCAAATTACTTTCCTTCAAAAAGTCTGTATACATTTGCTAAACTTTTTTTTTATCATGTGACCTAATTCTCATATTTCCTAGTGCAGTGTGAGTGTGTTTGGTGTATCCACCGAATCAATGCAATGCTCCTTCGATTGTAGAGGGAATAGCGTTCCAACAATTCTCTTGTTAATGCAACAACGCCTATATGAGCAAGGTGGGCTTCAGGTATGTCTGACTCAAATTATAGACCAATTTCACATTTTTTATTTATGAAAATTTCTTATCGTTCTGAATGCTTGTGCAGGCTGAAGGCATTTTCAGAATTAATGCTGACAATAGTCAAGAAGAGTATGTAAGGGACCAATTAAACCATGGAATTGTCCCTGATGGTATCGATGTTCACTGTCTTGCTGGTCTAATCAAGGTGCTATTCAACCTTCCAGTTCTACTGTATTAATGTTTTTGTTTGTAGCATCCTTTAGCTCTTATTTGTTTGTAATGAAAGTTTTCTGCATTAATGATTTCAACTATTTGAATTGGCAATTCGACATAGCAATTTATTTTTCTTGTATTATCATTTCCACTTTGTGAATTCATCCTTTGGTTTTCATTTGTTTACAATACTGTAAGACCAATATGCTTCATATTGCTAGGGTACGGAGAGGAAAACCTTGGTTCTGCTTTTTCAATAAGCCATTGTTCAAGACATTGAGGTTAGCTACATGAGTCATATTCCTCATTCAGCTCCATTAATGGCCATTTCCTTGGTTGACTTTTCTTAATATCATTTTTGTTGCCTCCATCCATGTTCCGTTAGGCCTATCTTAGTCTTTTGCTCCATTGACTAGAATCCTATCACTCCTAAGTCCTAACCAGTGGAATCAACCATTTTCAAGCAATTTTAGTCGGTTCTACCTCTAACTTGTTACAATTACACTTGTTTCTTATCTTATTTACATACTAATACTATATATCCTGAAGCAGAAAAAGTTTCTTGCCTTAATAGTAATCTTATGAAAACTTTCCTTTACTATCATGAATGTTTTACAAAAAACATAAAACCCCAGAGAAAAATACTGGTGTTTTCTTAAGTCTTGCGAAAACATTTTCTCATGTTATACCCATCTTATAGAAATTTCCTTTGCTTCATGCGGATACTTTATGGAAACATAAAAGTCCAGAGAAAAGTACTGGTGGTATTTAAAAATTAGTTCTCTTCTAGAATTTGTTCAATCATATCCTGTGACTGTGATCCTTCTCAAGATTTGAGTTCAATACTTACCTCTAGAATCGAAGTATCTAAACAGATTTAGATTTTATGTAGAGCAGCAAAATTGTATGATTAAAGAAATCTACCCTAACTGAGGATATAGATCCCTAAGCAGCAAAATGTAGAGCAGCAAAATGTTTCTTGCCTATGGCCTTTGCTCGTTTCTCATCATTTGTCATATTATTTTTGGGTTAATTGAGGATAGATCCCTAAGCTATTGCACAATTGAGGACAGACCCTGTAGTTCTATTGTTGCAGATAGACCCCAGAGTGATATGTTTCTGAATTTTTTCCCCTTTCAGAGAGGTATATTTGTCAAAAAATGTCTTTCTCCAAGGGTAACTTCGCTCAGGGGTTTATCTGCAACAATAGAACTGCAGAGGGGTCTATCTACAGCTTGGTGATAGTACAGAGTGTCTATTCACAATTAACATAATCTCTTTATAGCAAAATGGTCTTCTAATAGTTTTTTGTTGCATGATGCTCCCTTATAGGCCTGGTTTAGAGAACTTCCAACTGGAGTACTCGACTCTCTCAACCCTGAACGAGTAATGCAATGCCAATCAGAGGAAGAGTGTGCACAACTAGTTAAACTCCTACCACCAACTCAGTATGCGCTCCTCGATTGGGCCATCAATTTGATGGCCGACATTGTCCAAGAGGAACACCACAACAAGATGAATGCCCGGAATGTTGCAATGGTTTTTGCACCCAATATGACTCAGGTAAATTTGAGACATGATCTGATATTCCTCTAATCACTTCTATTTATGAACTTGAGGCATGTTTGTTTCCATGGAATCCTTGGCATTCCATGAGAAAGTGGCTCCCATTCTAATATTTATGTCAGAATCAAGTTTCTATGTTAAAATTTCTTGTTTGTTTGAGGTAAAGTTTGTTGGATTTTGCAAAGGCGGTTTTTTTGGCATTTAAACCTTATATAAATATACCTTCACTGCAGATGGCAGACCCTCTTACTGCACTTATGTATGCTGTCCAAGTTATGAACTTTCTCAAGATGCTGATCTTAAGGACACTGAAATCCCGAGAGGAACCGATTCTAGAAGCTCCTTCAGCTTGTCAATCCAGTCCATCCGACGAAAATGGCCATCACAGTCCTAAATTCCACGTTGAGGATTCCAATGAAGAAACAGTCGAACAAACTTTTGTTCATGAAGAACCTCTTTTAGTTGATGATACTTCAACTAAAGATCATGCTACGGATACTTCTCAAATATCTCCAGAGACCGATCTCTCTATTAGAAGGGGTAAAAAGAGCAAGCTGAGAAATAAGAATTCCAAGAAGGGATCACGAAGATTCAACGTGCAGTCGATTCGCTTGGCAGCCTCAGAGGAGAAACCGAAGGGAATCAGTATTGTGAAGCCTATAAGTTCGAGGGCGGAGCGAGTGGAGGCATGGAGGTGAAACTAAACTCTAGCACCTGACTGTTGATTTATTGGTCTGTGCATGTTTTCTTTCCTTGTATCAGATACTTTTTTTTTGTATTAACTTATTCTGCTTCTAAAACTTGGTAATTATCTTATGCTTTTTTCCTTCTCTTCTTTTGTGTTCAAGTTTTTGTACGCATTCAGATTGCTCTGTTGTTATTTTGTTTCTGTACTTGGTTATGACAAAAAAAAAATCCTACCAGAAGTTTTTACACATTCTTCAGTTTGCGTTCTCATTTCCCACCCCTGTTCTTGCATTATTTGTTATTTCTATTTTCCATTGATTAAAAAAATGTTATTATCATGATTTCTATTTTCCATTGATTAAAATCTTTTGCGTCCTATGACGATCAATTCTGTTTCTTTTCCTCGCGTCAGCTGCATCCGTCCTTTTTCCTGATCCCTATCGTATTCAATTTCGATGGATATGAATAAGATTTTTCGTTACCGAGACGTATCCGTATTTGAGACGTATCCGTATCCGTATTTGTATGCGGTGGATAAGGATAAAGTAAAAAAAAAAACTAATGCTCCCCTAATCACATCATGAACAGATTAACAGAGTCCGTATCCAAATCCCTTTCCTCCAACGTGAACCCTGTGAGATGGCTTCCCTTTATATAGAGATGGATTTTTTTCAAAGCAAAACCAGCTGTCCCTCTTATAACCTCCACGGCCTCTCCTCGTTTCCCTCTCTTTCTCTAATCCAACCTCCTCCCTCAAAACACCACCCACCTCCTCCCCCTCCCTCCCTCCGCCATGGCCACACCCGAAACCCTGAAGAACATCTTCAAGAAACCGGTGCAGGACCCTCTCTCCTCATGGGCCTGCCTCCTCCCGAAGGCCGGGGCCGGGGCCTCCTTCGACACTGTTCTTCGGGAGTTCTGCACAGACGAGGGCCCGAACCGGGCCCGACGAGGCCTGCCCCCTCGCGCAGCCGGGCCAGCACCGGCGCGCCCAGCGGCAGCGGCTCGACAAACTAGCGTGCCGTGGAAACGGCCGACATCCGGATGCTGATCACGACGAAACAGCGCACGCCTTGTGAGATCTTCGGCGAGCTCGCTACCAAAACAGCAGCCGGAGGAATGATGTCGGATCTCCGGGAATCTCGAGCGTGGGGGTGCCGATGGACGGTAGGGGAGGCGGAGTGAGAAGGCGGTTAGGAGGAGCTGCTGGATCCTGCGGCGATCGAAATGGGTTGCCAGGCAGAGTTCGTTCTCCTCCACATAACCATCATATCAGGGTTGCGGGAAACGAGGCTCTACTTCAAGTCATTTCCGGCAGATGGGAGGTTGTTCTGAGAGAGATCCGGATACCGTGCAGAGGCCTCTTGCAGTCGAACGAGGGAAGAGGAAGCTTCGGATGCAAAGTGGTCGGGCCGTCGAGGAGGATGTCAGAAGAAGAGGGGAGGAGAAGGGAGGAGCAGGGAATGATGGAGGAGGTGGAGAGGGAGGAGAATGAATAATACGTCGGGGGCTCTTTGTTTTGTTTTTTTTGTTTTTTTTTGAAGTTTTTAGTCTCGTTAGATTATCTTGGTTGTTTAAGATGCTTCGATGATGTAGGGTCCTATATTTTTGGATCGTAAAAATATTTTTCTTTTGCAAATGCACTTACGGAAAGATGGATGTTGCTGTTCTCCATGTCATTGAGATTCTGATCCCCTGAATTCAGAAGGCTTCTTGAGATTGTGTGCTTTTTTTATTCTTTTGTGACTTCTATGTTGCTTGATAGAGTTTGAATTTTATTTTAATTTTGAGAGAGAGAGAGAGAGAGAGGGTTCCATCATTAAAAGAAGTCCGACTTCCATTCGAATTAAGTGAAGTTAATAGGGCTCGAAGGCGCAGGTTTTCTTGGTTAATAAATAGGTTTTCTTTCCCCTCCCTGGAGACCACTTTAAGAATAGGGTAGTTATACGTGTTGGTGTATAGGATCACACAGTCAAATAAAAACAGATTAAGTTGACGGAGGTCCTCCCACTCTCTAAATGTCTGGTTTTTGGGCAAGTTGTACTTCCCTGCACAGGTAACAGATCTTAAGAGGGTGGGGTGTGATCCGACGGTTGTTCCTCTTATGATCAAGTCAGTGGGTGGCTTGTGTGGAGAAGTAAAAGAAACTGTAGTAGTTCTTAAATTTAGAGAATGGTTTTAAAAAGCTTATCCTGTAACGAAAAATAGTATCTCCTTTTACAGTACTAGAAGGAGGGTAGGGTGGTAACTTTGGTCGGGTATGGGCTGACGGCCAAGTCAGCTTCAACTTTATTGGTGTCGGCCGAGGAGTGGAGATGTCACTTCGGTTTAATGCAAAGTGATGTGGGGTGTGCGGTACCGACGTGGTCTGATGTGTCATAAATACTATTGGAGGCAGAGGAATGATGACGCTCATATTGTATTTAATGATATTTATGACGATGTGATTGGTCATCAGTGCACAGGAGGTGCTCGAGACTCGAGGCGCTTCGTTGCCTTTCCACTCATCTGGTGGTCGAGAGGTACCGCCTTTCGAGTCACCCTAGCAAAGTGTCGGCCAATGAGTTGTCGCGTGAAGTGTTTAAGTAGTCGATTCAGACGGGGGACGACACGTAACGCCTTTCGGATCGTCGACACGTGACGCCTTTCAAGTCGTCCTCGTAGGATATTAGCGTGTTGAGTCGACCGAGCTGGGCTTCTGATTATCTTAATATGCTGACCTGATTATGCATAATATGAGACACTTGTCTTCCATTAATTAAGGATTATTTTTCATCACTAAAATGACTATAACAATACGAAAACTACCTTTCATTTTTAATTTATACATAAACTATCTTTAAAGTTGATTTTTGTTACAACACTTTCTTCAAAATTACCCTTAAAAAACTATTACCCTTAAAAAACTTACACGCGACTAATTCTTCTAGGATACAAACAACTTTAAAAAGGTGTTTATGTATTAACGATGAGATATTATTTTTTGTATAATTACGCTACTTTTTAAGGGGGTTTTAGAAAAAACCCTAATAAACAAACCTGGTTCCTTTTGTTTTCTTCCTTTGTTCCTGTTACCCCTGATGCACGTTTCTTCTCCCTTGTAGAGATTGTATGAAGTTTGAACTGCATTATACATTCATGAACAGGATTGTGAGGATTATAAGCGCACGCTTGGCTATTTGAGGTGTCACGTAAATTATCAATTTATCACGAAAGGTTAATTATAGACCCCCTGTACAACACGTTATGCCACTCATTACGCCTCAATTTATCACGAAAGGTTAATTATAGACCCCCTGTACAACACGTTATGCCACTCATTACGCCTTTAGAATTGCAAATAAACCAAGGTTAATTATAGACCCCCTGTACAACACGTTATGCCACTCATTACGCCTTTAGAATTGCAAATAAACCATCTAATGCTGAATGATCATCAGAGATTTGTGAAGGACAGAGACTTTAAAATTTGCAAATAAACCTTCGGATGCCAAATGATCCTTAAGAGGCTTGTAACAGACAATACTACTGTACTATCACGCTCCTCACCGTCTGGTCCATCTCCGCCACAAACCCTGCTGTTTCCAACGGAGAGGAGGTGTGGAGGGCACTGGCGGCGTACACTTGACATACCTGCTGATATCAAACTTAAAGTCAATGTGGGCACGAGGGCCAGGCTCAAAGACCGATTACAGCAGATACCGATGCAAATATGTGAACAATGTGGGCACCAAAATACAGCAAATCATTTACAAAGCGGGCACAAACGCCACCTCAAATTACGACAGATTCATTTCACTTCACATAAAAATCCTGCTCAGTTCCTTGAACAAACAGATGAAAGGAAACCGGATCACATGACGTCAAGCATTACTCATTTAACAAGTCACTGGAGGAATTTACACAAAAGAAAGGCTCCAGCAGAAGTAGCACATTCAGAATAAGCTTATTTGCAGCTAAACCCCTGTATTGTTGCTGGTTTGAACCTACGCCACTTTAGTTTATTGCTGCAAATTTTTAGGATTGTAGTTGGGTATGAGTTAAATAGGTAATGGGTTTGGGTTTATAATCAGAGGTCAATCCACGCAAAAATGTTCAGAGTTAACAGAATATTCACCTAACATTATAACACCAACAAACAAGACTCATATCCACACACTAACGGTTTTTAAAGGACCAATATCAAAATATGAAGATTTGAGGGACTAATATCAAAATGCTAATGATTTAAGGGACTAATATCAAAAAAAAACCCTAAATGGACATTCAACTGCAGAACAGTATAGTCTTAAGTATGAAGGTTGAAGAATGGCATGCTAAACTGCATGGACACAAGTACGGGTGCAGGGACAGGGCATGACAAATTTGTAAATGGCAAGGTACGAGGACACAATTGAAGCACATCACCTCATAGTTCTCAAGTAAATATGAAAATAATCATTTAAAATCATAACTTTAAACTGAATATGGGCTGAGACGCACCTGGCCTTATTCCAACAAGTTTCAGGAATTTGATGCCAAATGTAGGACATACAATTGATTACACATATGAATTTTTATGCATATATTCAAGGATCCGAGTAGATGTGAAGCGTAGGATAGAAGAACCAATGCAACATAGATGTCACGTTTCAAAAGAAAACTTGAAATTGTCACAATAATGGATAAAACAAAAATAACAAGTTAATGAAAGCAATGTACGGATGTGCAGCAACATACAGGTAAAAATCAGAATACAAATTGCATATAGCACCTAACTGCAAAATATGATGAGACTCGAAAAGAAAAGTATAGCGGTGTAAAGAGAAAAAAAATTAAGTTCCTCACCGGAATCAATGATGTCCCAGACGGGTGTGGAATAGGAACATAAAAGTCGAGGAAAGACAATATCTAATAAAAAAACATCACAAGTTCTTGATGCAGAAAGCAAATTATAAAGGATATCTCTGTGGCTGAGCATCGGAAGAACCGAAAAAATGGACGGTAGCTTTGTTGGAGGTGTGAGACAACTTAAAACTTTTATCGAAACATAAACCAAAGCCAAATATCATCTGGGTACGATTCCTTGAAAGAGTTCCAAGAATTGCCTCCTTAAGCGCATCAGTTTTCACAGAGATACAGACAAGGCCATCATCTTCTTCTGGATGAAATATTACACTGCCTAGATCCGCAGTTGCTAATTCAGCCTCGATTGTTGTCTACATGAAACATTCCATGGACAAACACCATATTTTATATCAATCTTTCTTTAGAAGGGTGCCGCAACCTGAGATCCAATACATAAAGACATGTATAGATCTCTTTGATATCTATGGTCAAAAATACAATGATAGTCTCACGAAACTTCATAGAGAATGCAAGCAAGTTTTCGTTTGACCTGGAACAAGCCATTGGGGGTCAATGTAGGTATTCAGGCTTATGATAATGGCATCAACAAGAACTTTGCGATAGTAATTTTATATTTCACCTTACGATTTGAGTTAATCTCATGTCCGCTTGAGAAGGAGTTTGTAAGCTGCACGAGTAATAATGACCACTTTTCCCGAAAAATTAAAGGTTCCACAGAGGGGAAAAAAGGGGTATTAAAAAAGGGAAAAAAATTCATTATTACTCGTGTAATTTACAAACTCCTTCTCAGGCGGATATGAGATTAACTCAAATCGTTAAGTGAAATATAAAATTACTACCGCGAAGTTCTTGTTGGTGCCATCATCATAAGCCTGAATACCTATATTGACCCCCAATGACTTGTTCCAGATCTAGCAAAAACTTGTCTGTATTCTCTCTGTGAAGTTTCGTGAGAATATCATTACATTTTTGACAATATGTATCAAAGAAATCTATACATATTTTTATGTATTAAATCTCAAGTTGGGGCATCCTTCTGAAGGGAGGTTAATATAAAACGTGGTGTTTGTTCATAGAATGTTTTATGAAGACAACAGTGGAGGCTGAATTAGCAAGTGCGGATCCAGGCTGTGTAACATTGTTAACAAGTGTCGCACAATTTTTTCTCATCTTCGCAATCAGATCTGGGGGTATCTGATAATCATCAACATATCAAACATCTACATAACTTATATTAATATAAAATCTACAAAATTCCTCCTATATTCAATGAGACAATCTACTTACTCTAAAAAGTGAAATGACATGTTTTTTCCCTTCACTTCAAGAATTTAAAATAGTTATATAAACTTTATTTTTACTTGCATGTCAAGAACTTGACGATGTAAAAACAAAGGGAAAGATATTTACCATTTCTATTGTAAGGTTACATGAAGAAACTGGGTGTTGATTTGATTTTCTCTGTAGAGGCTTATGCTTCTTGTTCACGGCTTAGACCCCATGGACATATAACCAAAAATTCAAGAACCAAAAAATAATAATTGAACATCAGCACCGTGAAGACGAAGAATACTAATAACAATTTTTCCTTTTTTCCTCTTTTTTTGGTTTTCTTGGTTTTTTGGAGGGATCTCAAGAATCAAAGACGGGGGGTGCATATTAAATTATAGGGTTTTGGGTCCAGACTGTGCAGTGCTCCCTCTCAGGAGGCAAAAATCGAGTCGGGTCGAGTCGTTTAGAGTCGGAGTAAAAAACGCGGCCTTTAGGACGTTTAAAGGGTGGGCTTGGTTTACTAAGGATATTCTTCAAAAACATGTCACAAAGTATATACTAATGGTATAAGATTGCTTCAATCCTATGCTGTTATGACTGAACTATGTTGTGATTTACTTTTAAGTGTCTAAATTTAATTTTTATCATAATTTATGGTTTTGTGTTATTGTTTTTCTTTACATGAACGATATGATGTGAAATGCGTGTTTTTTACGATATTTAAATTGTAGATTAATTCATGCTAATGTATAAAAATTAATATGGTTGGATTGTATTTTATGAATTTAAGATCATAAATGCATGTTCTATATGAATCAAAATAAATAAAAATTAAAAATCATAATTATTTGCATGTACAAATAATTGCGGCACAAATTGATGACAGTTGGATAAATTTAATGTTTATGAAAGATTGATCACACTAGAAAATTTTATAAGAAATGAGTTTAAGTTGGAATTTCATATACTTAATTTAATTACATATTTTAATATAAATTTTAAAAATTTTGGTTACATTTTTACATATGAGTTTAATAAAAGCAACATAGTGCACATGCATTGCACGTGTTCATAAATTTTTTTCACTTTCAAAATAGTCTATCGACATGAAAATGATAAAGTGACTCAAAGGAAAAAAAAATGGAGTAAAGAATTTGAAAGAATTTTGAGTGTTCGTTGTAATAGTGAAATTATTAGAAATAGTTCAGTGAATAAAAGAATATTACTTATTCTCTTCTTTTTCTAATGTAAAAGAATATACTTGCAAGCAAAAAATATCCAGAACATTGCTACACATATTCAGATATGCACTCTCTCGTGGTATATAATTTTCAAAAATTGACATTACAAACTTAACAGTTACACATCAATGTGCATTCTCTATTTTTGAGCACTAATTTTAGTAGCTTGTAGTTCCAAATTCCGAAGCAAGTTTTAGCTTATAACTTCTTTAATTCAAGGTGCATGTGCTCTAGAAAAAAATTTAAGCTAAATCATTTGTCAAACAAACTAGGTCTTTTCAGTTTTCAGTCAATAAAGGATAGCAAATTAGGGCTTTTAATCAAACAAATCAGGATTTTTTTTTATCGTACAGATTAGGGCTTTTCATTCAACCAATTAGAGTTTCGAATTCACCTTAGTGTTAGAAGAAACCGAGGAGGAAAATTTTCGGAGGTCGCTGTTGATGGTCGGCCGAGCTTGACCGACGAGCTTGAAGTCGGTCGAAAGCGGAGCCTTGGAGACGGCTGAAGTCGAAGGCGTAGGCTTGGAGACGGCGGAGGTCGAAGGTCGAAGGCGGAGGGCGGAGGTCAAAGGCGGAGGCGGAGGGCGGAGGCTTTGAGATCGTTAATTTTAGGGCAGAAGAACAGCGAAGGGTTTTGATCTCGCTATCTTTCATTTAACTTAAATCGGGTCGGGTAGATGATAAGATGGGTTGTATATATAAACACCCGACCCAACCCCCCAAGTATAAAAATTACCTGAGTTATATAGATCCGGATATCCGGACCGTATCCGCAATGAAAACCCAAAACTAAAACCGAACCGAAACTGTATCCGGACCCGAATGAAAACCCAAAACTAAAACTGAACCGAAACCGTGTCCGAATGGTTGCAATCTTTTCCTACCATATCCGCTTTATAAACGGATAAGCTTGCGCTCGGTCCAGATATAATATATCTGGATTTTTTTGCACCCCTACTCCTGATGGTACGTTTCGTTTACTTTCTCCAACATAATGACTTCGATGAAATCCATTTCTATTATAAGTCCCTATTGTAAGAATCTCCATCTTTAGTTATAGAATATAAAAATTATGATTATGAAGTCCATTAAACTCAGAGTAAGAAATAAATGTTTTCACAATACTTATATGTTGTCATATTTAAAAGATCTTATTTAATAATATTGTTATTTTAGACAATAAAGTTTAGTGCGTTATCTAAAAATGAGAAAACACTTTTGGGAATATAAAAGTATTTAATAATATTATCATTATCATAAGTTTTTGTATAAAGTATATGTCTATTGAAGTGATTGAATATCTTTATGTTTATGGTTCGCATTCTTTATGTAGTCTTTGTCTTTAAAGGGAATAATGACCAAAGAGTTGAATGATTCAGCTCTTCTTGCGATTATTCTATGTACTAAATAGTATCATTAGAGCTGATTATTGGAGTCCTAAAGCACCTAAAGCAAGATTATAAGAAGACAAGAGAAGAACCTTAAAAAAATAAAATTCAAAGATGAAACTTTTGTATTCTTAAGCGATAGACTTCCTCTTCTTATTGCTTAAAAATAAAATTCAAAGACGAAACTTTTGTATTCTTAAGCGATATACTTCCTCTTCTTATTGCTTTGGTTATGGCGCCTTCTTCTTAAGCGATAAACATTCCTCTCCATAACTTAGTTCACGATGCATGATCTTCTAGCCATTCAGATACATGTTGATGTTATTTGGATTCTTCTGAGTATCTTGAATCATCTAAATAAAATATACATGTTGAAGATCACATCTTGTGGTTGGCTCCGCAGTCAACTTCTCATGGAGCTTCAACTCCTAAAATAGCAGTAGTGGATTTACCTTTGTCGCTTTTTCTATGACTTTGTACTCTGCACAAGAGAGAATCCATATGTAGAATTATTTGATAACCATATAATAAGAAATGAATTATAGATGTTGAAATCATTACATAACCTAAATATCACAAGTTTCATGACATCTCAATGACGATGTTTAGCTGCAAGAAGAAAAAGAGAAAATAATATAGGTGGAGTTTAACACCTTGTAGGAATAGATTGGAATTTGAATGGTTTAATTGGATATAGAACCGAAATTGAAAAATTGCATATTTATTAGATGGAGAAAGAACTGTAGAATTTTGAAGGTGGTTAGAGAGAAGAGGTCGTGCAACCATAACTGTGCTTTACGAGGGGGAATTGGAGGAAAGTAATATTTGGTGATTACTTCATCTAATATTTTAATAAAGTAATAAAAATTATGTTCTCTTCTATTTCTTAAGAAAAATTCCTCAATGACCCAAAATATGAGACCAATAGAGGGAACAAGTGAGGTGTCTCCCTCCTATTGGATAATGAGTTGGCCATCATTAATGATGGCCAACTCATTATCCAATAGGAGGGAGACACATTAACTTTTTTTTTTCTACAACCAAAATACTTCGCGGAAGTTGAAAGGTTAATATATTATCTCTTTATATTTCATTAGCATGTTTGAATAATTATATTATGATAATATTAAATAGGTTGGGGATATTTTGGAAAATCAAAAGTTTTGACACCCATATCCTCTTACATAACTACTATAGATGTAGATACTTGAATAAGTTATTGCCTGTTAGAAATGTCATAAATATTTTAAGATTCCATTATCTCCCACCTTCTTCGTACATGAACTATCTTGTTATTTATAATTAAGTTTTAGATAAAAGAAAAAAAAAACGAGATGTTAATAACTTATCATTTGAGAATGTTTCCTAGGCACAAGTCGGTTTCTAGTCAACCAAGAGAGAAAAAGATGAAGAAAATATATTATAGAAATGCACACTTCAGATGTGCATTGAATGCTACAGTAATAGTTGTAGATCTTTGTGTTCTGAGTTGTTGCTTATGGTATGAAACTTGTTGAGTAGTAGAAGATCTCTACATCGAGCAGTTAGATGTGAAGACTGTCTTTCTTTATAGTGACCTGGATGAAGAAATCTACATGAAACAATACTACTGTACTATCACGCTCCTCACTGTCTGGTCCATCTCCGCCACAAACTCTGCTGTTTCCAACGGAGAGGAGGCGTGGAGGGCACTGGCGGCGTACACTTGACATACCTGCTGATATCAAACTTAGAGTCAATGTGGGCACGAGGGCCAGGCTCAAAGACCGATTACAGCAGATACCGATGCAAATATGTGAACAATGTGGGCACCAAAATACAGCAAATCATTTACAAAGCGGGCACAAACGCCACCTCAAATTACGACAGATTCATTTCACTTCACATAAAAATCCTGCTCAGTTCCTTGAACAAACAGATGAAAGGAAACCGGATCACAAGGCGTCAAGCATTACTCAGTTAACAAATCTCCGGAGGAATTTACACAAAAGAGAGGCTCCAGCAGAAGTAGCACATTCAGAATAAGCTTATTTGCAGCTAAACCCCTGTATTGTTGTTGCTGCAGTCTCGCTGTTGAGACTCCCTGAATGAATTTTTGTTTTACATTCAAAGGAAGAGATTTTTTTTTTGGACAAATAGACTTCCCGAGGCTATTTAAAATATAAAAAAAAATTTCACTCACGGGTCTATCTGCAACAACAGACTAGAGGAGGTCAATAAAACAGCAGTACTACAGGGGTTCTACCCACAATTAACCCTTTGGAATAACAACCTATATATCTTTCATCAAACAACAAACAGAAGATGTTGCTGCAAGAGAAACTGTCGCTACCATTGTCATTTGAAGGCAAACCAAGTGTAGGTTGCTATGCATAAAAGGGTGGAAATAACCATATAAACAGCACGAATTTTACAGAATAACGAAATATGAAGGTGATTAGTCTAGGGACTCATTGTTTTAGCTCATGAACACTTGAACCCTCCACAGGCCATCAGCCATATGATGAGGATGAGGGAAGCGAGACCGCCTCCCATGATAAGCTTGAATCTGACATTGTCAAGCCACATCTTCCGTCGAAGTTGCCTGCCTTGCCTATGAAAGCTGTCAGCCTAATACAAATTTACCACAAACCAGCAATAATGAGTGAAAAGTTAGTATATTTTATTTTTATAAATTTTGTACAACTATCATGAGCTATTGGAGATTTTCTACAGAACTATCATAAATTATGTTCAGTAGCGGAAAATATAACAAACTTTCAAATCGATAAAACATGCAACATACTATAAAATAAAATCCATGAATTATATACCATAAACTCTTATTTATGTTCTAGAAAACTACAGAAGATTTTCAAATAAAGTCACTAAATTATCATTTATCATGAACTATACATTGTTGCAAATATCATGGAATTTCAACTATTATCATGAAGTTTCAAAGTCACTAAATTACCATGTAATTTTTTTCAGCTGGTTGAAAGTTTATGTACTCTACTCTTTAAAAATAGTTTATCGTCCTTTTTTAAAAGAAAATACCTTAATAGTTTAGTGAATTTTACCCTTTTATTTTCCCAACTAGTGCAAGAGTCCAGAGAGTACCTGAAACTGCAAGTTCTCAGTCTTGTCAACTAGAAGTTCAATCTTTTCACCACGATCAAGAACCTGTGCGAAGTAGAAGCAGGAGTCGGATCACTAGTCATTATGCAATTTGATCCTATGCATAACTCTTTCAAGGGAATCTAATTGGCATCTCAAAATGAATTAGCTAATTCAGCAAATTAAGTCAGATTCTTCTGCATTCAATATAATGAAACATAATATTTCTGGTGATTTAACTTTACGGAAGAAACAGTCCTCAATAGAACTGAGTGCAATGATATTCATGTAGCCGATTCCAAAACTCTGGGACAAAGACTTTGTTTGTCATTAGACTTAGCATAATAAGATAGCAAATTTGGTTCTCATTTTCCATCTAAACTTGTAATAACCTCTTTACCATAACAAAATAGAAGGTAGAGGAAGCAGTTACATACACTGTAAAGCAAATAAAATCACAGGAAATGGAGCAACGTATTAATTCTAACACCACTAGCACAAGCAAGAAATTCGATGAACGAGGGTATTTAAATTTTAAAGGTATGTTAAGTGGGGTAAGACTGAACATTAGTCTAAAACTGAAGAGTGATTGATACTCGAAAAATAAAGCTTCCTCAACTTCCCAAGCTGAGAAAAGTCAGAATTCAGAAATGGCCATTAATCAACTCTGCAGTTAAAATGTCCTACCTTCTCAATATTGTCCATCATTATTCCTTTAACCTCTGTAATTTGAGCTCTCAGTTTGGACAGTTTTCCCATTTCTTCAGGATGACTCATGCAGTACTGCATATGCTCCTTCAATACTGGACTGTTTTAACAAGAGTTAGATGCGTCCAAAATTCTTTAGAAAAAAGATGATAGCATCTCTATAATCATTACATACCCAAATTCGCGATCAAGCTGATAGGCAATACTAAACCTATCTTCAAACAGATCATCGTCGTCCTCATCAGCTAGCGGGTGAGGATCCTCAACATTAACACTCGACCCATAGCGTTTCATAAAGTCATCTCTCACTCTCTCTAGAAACACAAACGGTACACTCCTTCCAACTGCTTCATCAGCAACTATAAGGAAAACTACACAGAAAAGAAAAAGAAAAAGAAAAACCCCGTCACTTTATGTAAGAAGTATAGCTAAACCAATGAACAAAACAACAATGAAACCATACCAAATCCTCTATCAACGAGGAAGTTGAACGTATGTCCATCACAAGAATACGTGAACTTGTTACTGTTTGGAGGAAGCTTTTGCAAACATTGAACTGCAACTGTACTGAAATTTCCAGAAAAGGAGGTGTGTTCCGCAAGAACAACATTTCCCTTTGCCACAAAGCTATAGATCAATTGTTGCTTACTCATGGCTCTCAAAGCGAGTTCTCCAGTATACCAACCAAATTGATTGTATATCTACAGAAAGCTCATCCAACTGTGAAAAGAAAATAAAAGAAGCCTTCAACTTGTTATTGAGTAATCTCTAACACACAAACACAAATGATACCAAGAAAAGACTTGGGGTAAATCTCAATAAAACCCAAGAGCTTTTAGTGTTTTCCAGTAAACCCCCGAAAATTTCTAAAGCGCACTCAACCCTCAATAACCATTGGAATTGTAGAAAACCCCCAATAAAGTTCCGGATTTTGCAGATAACCCCCATGACGTCGTAAGCCCGCATTTTGCATTGGCCACACATTTTCGATCCCAAATGTGGATTAACGCTATCATGGAGGTTACCTGCAAAACACGAAAATTTATTGGGGGTTTCCTCCAAATCCAATAGCTATTGGGGGTTTAGTGCAATTTTAGAAGTATTTAGCGGTTTACTGCAAAATGCTGAAAGTTCTTGGGTCTCCAAGAGTGATCTTAGGTTTTTCCTATATTTGAGGAGCAAATCTCTCATCTTAGGAAATAGGGAGCCAAATAATGAGTAAGTGCTCCAACAATGCTCTATAAATGGCTTCATATCTCATGTTCTAGACTAAATATAGACTAAATATAGGGAGTAGGAGGGGGAAAAGTTGCTCCAACAATGCTCCATATGTTAAGACTAAATATAGGGTATCCTTGATTTGGAATATCAAATCACATTCCCTATATTTAGTTTCCAATATAGGGAGCCTGTTGGAGTAACTTTTCCTCCTCCTACTCCCTATATTTAGTCTAGGACATGAGATAGCGAGGCTGTTGGAGATGCTCTTTAGACTTGGGGTTCTAATCACCCAAGCCCACAATTACAAAAGTTTATCCCTTGATCAGCAGCATAAGTTAAATAAGCTTCACTAAGAACAAAATTAACGATAATTAGAAAAAAATTCAGAAAACTCATGCCCTAGATCTAGCAGGAAACAGTTGGAACGAATATTGGAATTATTACAAGAGTTATTAAAAAAGAGAGAGAGAGAGATCTAGATGCGTAAACGGAGAAAAAGTCAACGGATCGAACCTCAAAAAACCCTAATTTGATTGCTTCGACTTCAATCTCCCGTCACCCTCTCTCGCTCCCCCCTCCGAGTTCTCGAGTTCTCTGGGGAGTCCTCGTTCTTCAGAGATGCGTGGGGTTCAAATGACGTTTATGCCACTCGTTTGGTTTATTTATGGTGGGCAAAGGCTTCGTGCCACGTACGTGGTTGCTTTGAGGGTAAGGAAGGGGTATTTATGGTATTTGATAAAGAGGCCGCGGAAGGAATTAATAATTATGAAGCGTGATCCCGAGCTGAGGAGTACGGGTTTGGATCCAGTCTCTGCTTTCGCTTCGAAACCCGTTGATAATTTCCGCGTTACCGTCATTAGAAATATAGTACGTGCGACGCACGGGTGTATAGTAATTATAATTTTTGTTTTGCAGAGGTCAAATTACGCAAGTGTTTTGCATGTGCTTTGCACGGGTGAGTTTCACACGTGGAATAAGTAATACGGAGCGGATAGCAAGAACTGAAAATGTATTATTGGCGCGTAGTTTTAAAGGTTTGGTCTTTATGGATTTCTTCTTTAGTCATATACACATGCTTATAAATTAAATTGAACAATTTTTTTTTTCATATACCAATGACTTATAGCATATATATTATTAAAAATTAGATAATCTGAGATGAATTTTCCCCCCAAATAGTTTAAAAGTTAAAAGAAATTAAAATGAAGGGGATGGATGGATGTTTTTTCCAAAATTTAAAAATCAGAATTAGATAGTTTAACCACCAGCTTTTTCTTTATAATATTTCTCTTTATTCATAATATTCTAAGATAAAAAGAGAAAAACGTTGATGTGCCAAATGAGCGCGTGGATATCTTTTGTTTTAGAAATTTCATATTTTAAAATTAGATCGTTTAAACAAACCCTTATTTGTAATGTCTCTCTTTTTATATAATACTTAAAAAATAAAAAAGATATAAAAAAGTCGGCGCTCCTTATCTGATCACATTACTGAAAATATCTTTTTGATGTAAGAACTACGGTAATTTTGCCAATGGGCAAGATCATTTTACATTGACATTGTTAATATAAAAAACTATTGAGATTTGGTATAAACTAAAGCGAACATTGAGTTAAATCCTAAACCTTAAGCGATCAAATAAAATATTGTAGTTAGATGATGTTATGGGGTATCCCCTATTCTTCACAAATATACTATCCCACGAGTCGTTACTCCCCCAGACGAGTCAGCTTCATTCCTCAAAGGCGACTCGAAAGGCGGACTCAGTCGAACCTCTTCATAACAAAAAATTGCTACTTGGCAATTAGCCAGCACTCCTCCCAAGGACGACACAGAACATTTATTCTCAGTATTATTTAACCTTTTATGATCATCATTATGTCTCCGTTCCCAGCTATCTGAAACATTGTCGGCTGCGGGTTCCCCACATTGCTGAAGTGCATCTAAACCTTCTGTTGCAGTAAACACCTCTCAACCCACTCACTAGCACCAGACCCTCCTCAATTCATGATTATGGAGGGTATTGCTTGCCAGTTATCTTTCCGAACATGGGAAATCAGTGGTGCCAAGTGTTAGTAAATTAGTTTGAGGGGTGTTTACGTGCAACTGAAGGTGCAAATAAGGGGGTTATGTGCAACTTACCCCATATAATATTTACGACAATAACTAGTCAACACATGACCGTTAATGTCGATACGGTTGTTGTTGTGCGCGGCGCATATTCAAAATGTAACAGTTGCAATAAGCAGTATCAATAAGCAAACAGAATATTAAAAAAGGAAAAAACCAAACTCCTTATTAAACAAATTCAAAATGTAATAGTTGCAATAACCAGCACATTTTTAACAAAATTCATATATCCGATTATACTTCGAGATCACGCATTCCACACTTACCAGGGACATGCAAGATAGCTACAAGCAACAAGAACTTAGAATCCATCGTCGCAACCATCAAATTGTAAAACTACTTCGATTTGAGAATTATAAAGCGAAAAAAACCAAGTTCATAGCAAAAACAGAGCTTTTAATCCATTCCAATGTCAACGAACGGACATAGTTTCTTTTAATAAACTTATCAGCTCAGTTCCTTATGATGGACTGATAGAAACTCAAGGAAAATAGTTTCGCAAAAGCAAAGGTAGGTGATTCAACATGAATCTTGCACTTATCAATCAACAATTTCTTCGGATTTCTTGGGCTTGGAGAAGAACCACCAGCCAAAGGCACTAACAGCAGCAACTGTTCCAGCAACTACAGCATAATTTCGGTTCTTGTCAGTTGAGACTCCGCCTGTAGTAGAGGTTTCTGTGGTACTCGGCTTCACGCCACTCGCAGGGGTTTCAGCTGTCGCTGGGGGCTGGTCTGCTTTAGGACCCTGTTATATATTTCATAGTATATCAAGTTAATACACAAAAAAACCCATATAACTGGATTACCAAATGATAATAATCATGTTAGGGTTTGTGCAGTTATTCATAGTTGGAAAAACAATGTACCTTCTGTAAAAAAAAAAAAAAAAAAAAAAAAAAAAAAAAAAAAAAAAAAAAAAAAAAAAAAAAAAAAAAAAAAAAAAAAAAAAAAAACCCCCCCCCCCCCCCCCCCCCCCCCCCAAAAAAAAAAAAAAAAAAAAAAAAAAAAAAAAAAAAAAACCAGCAGCAACAACAATACACACATAAAAGAAAAGGCAAGGAAAAAAAACCTCTTCCACCCCAATTCATGATGAAGAGGGTGTCACTTGCAAGTTTTCTAAAAATGGAAATTCAGGAGTACTAAGCGCTAATAAATTAGTTGAGGGGCATTACGTACATCTGAAGTACATTTGAGGGTTTATATGTAATTTACCCTACATAGTATTACAACAATAACTAGTCAATACATGGTCATTATGACAAAAAATGCTGGATTGCTATAGTTGTCGTTCAGCATATATTCCAAAATGTACTTGCAACTTCACTCATTTTGAGTGCAGCTAAAACTACATGATTTAGACTCTTAAAGCATAAAATATAATTGCAATTGCAGAGTGTACTTATGAAGCACAAGCCAAACAAGCGTATTTGATCTATATTGTAATTGAAACATGGCCTACCGACTATCACCAATCAAACATGCCCTCATTTCTACTAAACTATAGACCAGATCTGCATTACTAAAAGCATTTAGATTTTAAGTTGACGTTTACAAAAGGACCATCCAAGTGTTTTTGTTTCATTGTCAACAATAGACTGTTAGATGTCAAAGGCGGCAATATCACCAGCAAGCATAACTCTTAACAAAAATACTTCTATATCACAATACATGCAAGCTTTCAAAAATTGCCAAAAGATCGAAAAATATTGTATGGCAGCTACTTTCTGTTCTGCTGACCATCTCGTATTTTGTATGACTTTCTCTTGGGAACTAAATTATGGGAATCTGATTCTATTTTGCTTTAATGTTTGTCTTAGCTATGAGTATGATTCTATATAACAAATCATATCATACTAAAATCTAATTACCAATGAATGCTTGATGGAAAATTGGGTCAGGATCCTAAATGCCCCATTTCTGAATCTTTTGAACAGGTTCAGATGCTGACATTTATTTGACCGAAATAAATGCTGAACTTGAATGTTTACCGAACAGGTTCATATGCTGCACTCTACTTGAGTTGGTAATATGTACTGTATCCCTATTGTCCATCAAACTGATGTACATTTTGAAGAAGTACAAAAATGGGAGGTCAATCAAGGATATATGATCACGAAAAAGATACAAATTCGCAGAGGCTGGCATAAAACATTTCTAATGAAAAAGTCCAAAATAGAACTGCAATAAGTCCCACGCTATGTGGCACAGGGCTCACAACTTAACTCCAGACCATAATTGCGTA